CTTCAGTAGGAAAAAGTTGGATTTAAAAATAAAACACATATCAGCTAGACATGTAGTTCAGGACAGAGCACTTATGTTACGAGGGAGAAACCCTGAGTTTGGTCTCTGATACCACTATTCACTGCGGCCAAAAGATAATAAAATAAATATAGACAAACATTAAAAACAAAGAAAGATAGAGAATGGGTAATATTAGTAAGCAATTTTTATTTATTTATTTTTATAATAAGTGAGATAGTATAATTTTAATTTAACTTTATTTATTTATTTTATTTATTTATTTATTTATTTTGAATACCCATCCCCTCACCAGTGCCTATTACCCACCATCATGGATCCCAGTATCCCTCCCACCCCTCATCCCCCCATCCCCCCATCCCACCCTGCCTCTGTGGTAGGGCATTCCCTCTGTTCTCTCTCTCCTTTTGGGTGTTGTGGTTTGCAAAAGAGTTAAGTCTGATTTTCAGGGAGAAACTTTGGATGATTAGCTTTCCATTGATCACTTTGTATATAAGGGGAATGTCCTGGTGCCTGCTTGCAGGCTCATGGTCATCGGGGTTCCATCTGGAGAAGGCAGGATGCACCACCTACCCCATCTGGGACCTCCCGGTGATATTGGCTCTCTTTGGGACCTGGAGCATTTTCCGGGAGCGGTGCGGTCCCCAGCCGGTTTTCTTCTTTGTTGCTGTGTCCTGTAAGATGGCGCTAGGGGGCGGGTTGTGGGCTTGACTTCCAGAATCAGAGATTGCCTGGGAGCCGGGGTGGCCCCATTATTAGAAAGCAATTTTTAAAGGTAAAGGTAAAGGTAAAGGTCCTCCCGTTGATCGTCGATTTGCTCGAGCGGGCCCAGTAACGTCTCCATTGGAGACTTTGTTGTTACTGTGTCTGGCATATCGAATATTCTTGGTAGCTTGCCGGGCTCTCCAAGAGGGGCGGAGGAATCGAACTTGGGTCGGCCATGTTGGCCGCTTGTAAGGCGAACGCCCTACCCGCTGTGCTATCGTATGGGCTACATGCAGCGATGCTTAGGGCTTACTTCTGGCTCTGAGCTCAGGGATCACTTCTGATGGTGTTTAGGCACCGTATCTGGGTGCTGGGAACCAGGGTCAGTTGTGTGCAAGACAAGTAGCCTCCCTCTGTATTATCTCTCCTGCCTCTATAATAGCTTTGTTTGATTTTATGGTGTTTCATGTTCGGAGGCACACCCAGCTGTGCTCAGGGCTGCCTCCTGGCAGAGGTCAGGGGATCACATATAGTGCCCTGGATTGAATCTGGGTTGGCTGCATGCAAGGTAAGCACCTAACCTCAGTTTTCTCTTCATCTCACTCTATGATACTTTTATTGAACATTTTACATTCCATTCTGCATTAGAGCCATTTTAAAACTTGTATTACGGGGGAGAATTTATATTATATTTGTATTTTGGGGGAGAATAACTAGATTGTACTTATGTTTAGATCCTTAAAATATTTATCAAAATAGCTTATACATAGTAGAACACAGTGTTTGGTGAGTGAGTGAATGTCGCTATCCACTAGATTCCCTAATGTGACACAGACAATTTTCTTCATCACGCTTTTTATTAAAAACCCAATGTCATGCAAAAATGAGCTACTTGATGAACTAGGTATTGTGATCAATTAATGTAAATGAGATACTATTTCCCATTTTGATGACTTTTATGTCTATAATTTTAGTTCTGTTAGTAAGACTAACATGGTTTCCACCTAAGAAAAGGACTCCTGAAGGAATTGTTATAAAATATTTCTACTAACTGGAACATTAGATGAAAGTAAATTCTGTATGGATTTATAGAGTAATCTACAGGCTTGGTCTGTCTAGTAAGGCTTCTCTGACTAACATGTTTAATGTATTATAAATTATTTCATACCTGCAGAAAATACTTGAAATGTCATAACAAAGGTGTGTGTGTCTGTATATATGTGTTAGTGTGTAGTACCTAATACTATCGGATTAGTAAAACACTGCAGTTCATTAATTGCTGGCCTTTTAAGGCCTCACTACATTTATTCTAACTTAGTGCCAATTAATTGTGCCAATTAATTAATTCATTGCTAGAACTGATTTCTTAGACTTTTCTTATTTGCCTGGGATGTCAAATGTTCTGGAACTATGTACTGTAGATAATAATTAGCAATAGTTTGCTTATTTTAAGCTTCATTTAAATGTGTTTTTGTAATTTATCTTCTGTAATCTTTTATGTTTGAAAATTTTGAGAAACATCTATGTTTGTTTTGAGCTATGTCCTTTATTTTTACTTAATTATGAATTCCAATTTATGAATATATCATAGTTTGTTGATACTAATGGTTATTTAGGCTATTATTAGGTTGGGAAATTTTGTTATCCATTATTTTCTTTATGTGATTGTGTGTTACATATAAAAATAACAAAGATCTGTTGAATGTAAAATAAAAGAAATTTTAAAAAGTAATAAAATAAAGTCTACCTGTCCAATAGAACAGTGAAAACAATTTAAATTTTATTTCAGTAAAATTGTCATAGTCTTTAGACTGTTTTCTTAAGAAACATAAAATACTTTTACAATTCAAGTTTAAATGCACTAGGATCAGTTATTTTTTAAAGTTAATTGTGAATTGAGAGACTGTATCATGTGCAATAATCAGGAAGGTAGCCTTTAAATCAAATGCCAATGGTTTCTCGGATCTTCTATTGATTAGCTGAGAGGCCTTGGACAAAGTATTTAACCTTTATAAGTCTCAGTTCCTCATGAGCAAAAAAGGTCTAAATGTTGAACTCATTTTATAGGGTTATTATAAATGAAGAACAAAGAAAGCCAATTGTTGGGCATACAAGAAAAACAACTGATAAGCAAAAAGAAAAAAAACTTCCCTATAGATTAAAGAGTTTATGCTAGATATCTGTAATCATATTTAAAATTGAGTAATTTAATTAAGCCACAGTTTTAGATCAGAAGAGTCAACAAATGGTTTCACAGCTAAGGCTCTACTAGGGAGAGGGCAGGAAAGGAAGAGTTACTAATTAGCAGAGTTTAGCTCTGGAATTTTCCTTGGGGTCCCAAGGAACCTTACAATATGACTATTATTACTATCATCACAACTTCTGAAAAATCTTTGGGACTAATGCTATAGTGAGTTCTGTATATAGGTAAAGTCCCTGTAAAATGAAACCCCAAGAGCTAAACATTATTAGAGTTTGAAAATTTATGATAGCATGTGGTAGTCCTTTATCATTTGTGCGAAAAAGCACATCACTGAGAAATAAGAAGCCCTTTATTTTGAGCACAGTTAAGGGGGTGTTTCAGAAGGATTAGTATTTTGTTAATAAGTCAAACAGGTACTTTTCATTGTTAATGAGATTTCAGGTGTATAAGAACGTTTGGAAATTGCTGTACTTGAAAATTATACTAAAATAAAAATGGTGGATAGAGACTTTCAAGGTCTGCTCTAGTAGCAAGTACTCAAGATAGTGCTTTTTAAATACCAAAAGGTGAATACTCAGTTACACTGAGACCCACCATGATTCTATACCAAAATAACTGTAATGTACTCTAAAATGGATTTGTGTAGCTAACTACTCAGTTCCTGCTGGTGCTCTGGGACAAGAACTGGAGGGGCCTAAATCTGTCTTTTGTATGTTAATGAGCTTTTACTTGCAAAGGTATGAGAATTAACATAGAATGAAGTTTTATCCAAGAAAGACATTTATCTCCTTACTGCCTTCTGTGATGGATTATTCACTGTTAAAGGAATGCCAACCTTGAGCCAAAGCCCCTGCTGCCCTATATAGTTTTTTACAATCTTCTTTTCAATAACACAAAGTCAGGTCAGCCTCAGTGCCAGACCAGCACTTCTTAGAAATCTTCCAGTGTGACAGGATGAAGCCTCTGTAATACAAATCAACACTATTATTTTCAAAGTAAGCAATTTAAAGGGTTGCTTGAACAAGAAAAGACAGACTTGCAGAGTTGTATGCTGTTTTGCAGCTCATGTAAGATAGGACTGTGAATTGCACTGCACTGATGTTCCATTGTCTTCTGAGCATTTTAAGCCTAACTGGGTAAATAGTGCTAGATATTTGATCAGTGTTAATATGCAAGATGCCATCATTAGCTCTGATTGTTCTTTTAAACTACATCACTTGCTTCTGTATTCTTCCTTTGATGTGTAGCAGATAGTGATAACGAAATTTGTAATTTAAAATATACATTGACTTTGAAATGTATTCATTTTCATATTGCAGTTTACGCGTATTTATGATATGGAATAGAGGACAAAATGATACTGTCTGCAAAAATGACAGCAACTTTTGTCTCTTTTTTATATTGTCTTTAAAGTTATTTGTCTTTTAATTTATTGAACCTTATGTTAAGTTGAGGGGCCTCAGTGGTGTTTTGCAAACTCTGGATAAATAGCAGGGGTAGTTGCCTTATATAAGGCAATTCTAGTTGTACTTAACCATGTCCATATTTCAACTAGCACTAATTTTCTTGTTCGAAGATTAACTTTGTTTTCTCTATACTGCATGGAATATGACTTTTGGTATATATCTGTATTCATTCTTGCCATATTTTGTTTTACTAATTCCCTATGAGTATTTTTAAAAGACTTTCTGCTCTTGAATTCTAATTGTTTATGGACTAATTCATTGTTCCCTTGAAGTGGTTGAAGAAGACTAAGTAGGACTAAAGGGATATTTTGCACATAGCCTCCAGAATTTTAAAAAATGCCATACTGTGAAATATTCTTGAAATTCTATATTTTGACAAGCCCTGCTTTAACCTAAATGTGTACAAGTCAGCAGGCAAGTTTCTCAATCATCTAAGAGTCAGTAATTTCACTTGTCATCTCTCATCAAACCATAATTTTCTGGTGGTAATATTGAACCTACCTAATTCTAGCCAGTATTAATGTGTTTTTCTAGCTTGTAAAGCATCTAGTTATCACTTTGTCTATTTCAGCTTGTTCATACTAATGATTTATTTTCATTTTCTCTAGGATATAGACCTGCAGCTAACTGGATTTGATTAATAAGAGGGAATCTGCAGTCAATGGCCACCCTCACCACGTTGCTACGATGGAAAACACAATAGTCAATAGGATATGGTCTGATAAATACCAGTGATTGAAGATGCTACTTCAATACTTGTGAAATCAATGGGAGATACTGGCTGCATAAAGAGCTTTTTGAGCTTTTTGCAACAAGCTCATCTTTAAGAAATCAGAGGCGTATTTCACCATTCTACAGCTTTTCCAAGTGGATACAAACACCCTTGCCACACCATACCCAGGCAACTATACACCTAATGTGGGACCATGGCACTGCCCAGGTGCACATGGCCAAATTATGTTTGGAGAGCAATGATGGCGTGCTTGGTACAAAGGGGATCGAGTGCCTCGTTGACTCTCTGTGTGATGGGATGTTTACTTCAGGCTGCTCATGTGCTTGCGCAAAAGTTGGATGATGTCGACCCTCTGGTGACTACCAATTTTGGCAAGATCAGAGGAATTAAGAAAGAACTCAATAATGAAATTTTGGGGCCTGTGATTCAGTTTCTTGGGGTTCCCTATGCAGCCCCACCAACAGGGGAACACCGTTTCCAGCCTCCAGAACCACCGACTCCATGGTCAGATATCAGGAATGCCACTCAGTTTGCGCCTGTGTGTCCCCAGAATATCATTGATGGCAGACTCCCAGAAGTCATGCTTCCTGTATGGTTTACTAATAACTTGGATGTGGTGTCATCATACGTGCAAGACCAGAGTGAAGATTGCCTATATTTGAACATATATGTCCCCACCGAGGATGGTGAGTTTACTGCAGGAGAAAACAGGGAGATATATTTCAAGTTTTCTAAGTTCTAACAATATTAATTTGTGTGTACTGGTAGCATGCATGGCTTTTCCTGTTGGCATGTAGACATATTTTACATGCGTGCATGCCGCTCTTTTTTGTTTATGTGTATTGGTGTATCTGTTCTATTTTTTCCTGTGCCTACTCATTTTCTTTCCTCCACAGCACGTATATTAGGTAGAAATGGTTTCCTAACTTCCATTTCCTACCAAATGACTTCTGAGAAGATGCATAAACATTCTTCCATTGCATGTGCAGGCCCAACAAATTGGGGATCTTTCGCACTCAGTAAATGTAGGAGTATCTTAAGTTAGAGAGTGCTGTTGCATGTTCCGGCGGTCTGTGATGGAGCGCCATGTTATTTTCTAGTCTTCTATTCATTTTTCAGTAAAAAGAATATCCAAGGAATGTGCCAGAAAACCCGGCAAGAAAATATGTAGAAAAGGAGGTATGTATAAAAGTGGAAATAAAACATGGGGGAAAACCTTGCAGAGGAAGAACAAGATAATCTTCCTAAGGAGAATTTGCTGATGCTGGGAAGTGAATGATTAGGTGCTTATTTGGGATTTAATGAAGCCTGTCAAGAAATAGATAGTCAAGGAGGACTCAGTAGTTGAGTAGAGAACATTGATAAAGCTCTTTGGTGGTGACATGAGTTCTGGTGCCTCGTAGTCTCAACAGGAGTAGAATCTGTGCTTTGAGATTTTGTACCCAGAGAAATTAACTTAGCCTCCTATGCTGCCTGCGAGGAAACCGAATGATGTCTTATCAACTGGTTAAGTTTGGATCTCCAAATTCTTTTCGACAAATACAGACTTCTGTTCCTTTTCTAAGTATAGTCACGAAGATAGTTTTATTTCTTGCTTGTTTATATTTAGCTTCTTTTGAACAGCCTGTGAACTTTCTCATAATAGGGTAAATTTGCCTTACCTGATGGACAGTTGCCATTATTAAGTCATGGTATTTTTTCCCTCAATCTTCTTTCTGTTATTTTTCTGGAAGAGAAAAAAGATTTTGCAGATTTTTATACTACATGTTTACAGTCTTAAAGTTACTTTAACATTTTTATATTTATGTTAAACAATTTAAAACATAGGGAAGAACATGATTCAGAAGCTACAATTAAATCAACCTTCAAATCATCCTCTAGCCAGATTGAGCAAATGTAGACACTAACAGCTGCAAGCTTGCGTCTGAATGTAGCTTGTCCACACTCCATTTTTATAGAACATTCAGTAAATCACTCAGGAAAGTATGATTTTTCTCTGGCAGTAAATCATCTAAGTGTTATTTTGACCTTATTCATAACTCTGTAGAATTTCCAGTCTTCCTACAGAAGTCATATTAATATTCTAGTGCTGTGTATTCTCTCTCTGTATGCACTTCTAATCACCTGGCTGGCCCAAGTCAGATTTCATTGCGTTGTGTGGGTTGGGGACTGTGTAAACTGCTCTGTTTTTACTGGAATTGCATTTTATGGAAGAAAAAGCAAAATGCTCAACTGTGAATCAGAATTATTTGCTTTCAATTAGTTTTGTTTTATATTTTGTTTCTGTTCTTATTTTTTGGTCTTCCTCGTAGAATGAAATTCAATTTTTTAAATTTATGCCATGAAGTGGATTAAAATCGTTGCCTATTTCAGAAGGTAGATATAGAGGTTAAACCACTAACACGAAGTCTTATTTTTGTCCAAGCAAGAATAACTGCAGTGATTTACATGCTTTCAACTAATGTACAATACTGCAGCGGTTATTATTATGCAGCTTATCAAGTATGTGTAATTAGCTAAGTGACTTTTGCCTCCTATCACAAAGATGTTGATTCACAAAGTCATAAATAAAGATGCTATAGAAGAATGCATAAATTGAGCATAATACATAAAAAATTGTACAATCAAAAATTGATAAGGACACTTAAAGGTAAGCTAGTACAAGAGAAAGTGACCTCTATTTATATACAACTTCAAGGGAAATGGACTCACTAGGAAACTATTTTTCATTGTTCTTCGGGGATTGCATAAACTGTTCTGTTTCACTGGGATTGCATTAAATGGAAGAAAATTTAATATAACAAAACTCTCACATATTTGGGGCTGGCAAAGGTTATAGGCTGTACTATTTACTTTGGCAAACTTTGAATTAATTTATAATTACTCCAAGAACAATGTCTTTAGACACCTACTCTTGTTTGTATGACTTCTAGTTCAAATCTATGGATTTTTATATGAAATGGCGTTAAAAGCTGCCTTGGTATTTAATATGACATATTATCATGATTAAACAAGTTCAGTAAGTTCTTTTTGCTTATTTTCTGTTTGTGTAATTGTCCAACAGTTTAACTAGAACAGAAATTTCTAGGTGATTGTATTTTAAAAGAACTAATGCTTGGATGTTAACCTTTAAGCAGAGTAGACAATTTTTTTTCTCAAGATTTCAATGTTTCTCTCCTTTTCTCTCATTAACAATCTATGCTCATCATAACATGATATGATTCTGGTTCAAGAAGGTATTTACTATCTATGTGTATCTATAGCATAAGGATTATGCATTCTACAACAGAGTTCCAGAATCATATTTTTTGCGAAGCAGAACCTTTTTATTAAAGGAAATTTAGAGAGATGTAAGAGCAGAGAAATATAGAGAGACAGGTGTTTAAGACACAATACAGGTTTCTCCAGGGTTAAAAGGGCTGGCTTGTTATTATTTGTCCTTTTTAATTTTGAGCACCTGCGGTCACCTGAGAGGCAAATATACACCCCCCATCTTACCAAGTACAAGCTAAGGTGTACTCACTGTATCTATTCAAGACTATTTCCTAACTGTGTAGTGTGCACTATTCAGCAGAATATTCCTCTTCCCATAAAACTTATATTTAAGTACATTTACAAGGAATAAAGCACTTTCTATATTATTTCACGTTTTTTAATCCACTGATGTTCTGTGATGGACAATACTGTTAAGGATGGTTTGCACGTACATAATTCCAGTACCACATCCATCACAGTTTACCCCCCCCTCTTCCCCCCAGGGCCCCAATGAACCACACTTTCAAACTCCTCTCCACCCCTCCCCCCCATAAATCAGTTGGGTAGATCAGAACTCTGCACTTTAGCCTGCATTTAAAGAAAAAAGCATCCCTCCTCCAAAAGATGCCTTGCAATAATTTTTAAATAGAGCTTTTATAAATATTTTCCTGTTCTATTGAAGAAGAAAAGTTTCATCAATAAGATGTCACATTTAAAACAGATTCCTATTGCACTTTTAAATCTTTTTATATTCCCCATGATGGCTTTAGCCATATGCTAATTATTCTCTAGATATTTCTTCAGGGCTTTATCTATGCAAAGTTGAAAGAAAGGTGAATGCCTAAAATGAGATAACTGACAACATTAGGCCATAAACAGATAGTGTGATAGATACTACAGTTTGGATATGGAGGTCAGACATCATTTATCATAAAAAATTATTAGAAAACCTGCATTACTATCTTTATTTTGCAAATAAGGAGCTAGGTTCTAAGAGTTTAATATTGTGGCCCAGTTTCTAATGCTAGTGATAGTCAAGCTTTGTTTTTGCTTATATTAGATGTCTCTCTACTATTGTTAAATTATCTCTTGTAGGTTATTTCTATATCAGGGGACTTTATCCCTCTCCCTTCCATCCTTGTTTAAAACACTCTAATGCACTTAGTGCTCATTTTATACTCTTAACTGAATATTTTCAATAGTATTTTTCTTAATTGAAATTGGTTCAAGCCAATGTTAGGAACTGATTCCCAGAAAGAGGCTTACTACTTATTTTATTGAACGCTTTTTAAATAGGAAAATCTTTTCATTCATCTTAGGAAATTAAATCTTCATTCATTTTCATCTTGTCCAGATTAAGATTCCAACCTATTGTTCCTGGCTGCTGTCAGGGATGGCTTTAATTTGTTTAAGTTTCACTGTGTTTCTCTAGGTCACTCTCTTGTGAGACTTGCCAACAAACAGTGAAGTGGTCAAATATTAGGCAGTAAACATGAGCAGGAAGAAGAAGGAGCCCAGAGAATCCATGAAAAAAATATTGATTGGCTCAGGGATACCCGAGGGTTATATAGCTTTGCAATTCTCTAGCACAATGACTATTGTTTGCATAGTTTTTCTGCAATGAATACAGATTTACATTTGATTTCTGCATTGATGTGTGATTGCTAACACCTTTCTTCCCATTTACTCCAACTATTATTATATGGAAAATTAGGATCCTTAAAGAAGAATCTGATACAGTTCTTCATTCCTTGAGCATTTTCTTTCTTATCTTCATAGTTTTATTATTTTTATGTACTCTTATTGATTTTCTATACCTTAAGTAATACTGAGCAAAAAAAAAAAAACAGAAAAAAACTAGGATTACAATGTAGCACTGTAGCACTCTCCTTCCATTGTTCATTTGCTCAAGCAACTGTCCTTCCATTGTTCATTTGCTCAAGCAGGCACCAGTAACATCTCACAACAAGTTGTGAGACTTGTTGTTACTGTGTTTGGCATATTGAATTACGTCACAGGTAGCTTGCCAGGATTTGCTGTGCAGGCAAGATACTCTTGGTAGCTTGCCCGTCTCTCCAAGAGGGGCGGAAGAATCAAACCCGGCTCGGCTGGGCTGGCTGCGTGTAAGGCAAACGCCCTACCCGCTGTGCAATGGATTACAATGTACCTGGAAAAAAGCGAGATGGAGAGATTCAGATTAATTTGACTTAATATTCAATCATTTTCTGTCTGATTTATTGTGTATAGAAAGCAGTAAAGTATAGGGAAATCAGAAAGCAAATAAAAACTGCAGTTAAGTGTTTGTATTATAATACAATTAAGATGAGTGTGACCCAGGCTCAGGCCAGTAACATAGGGAATTGTATATATTTATATATTATGTATATGTACATATATGTATATATATATTTGGAAATTATATGTTCTCATAAATTTATTGTGCACTGCTGAAGAAAATGAGAAGGTAGATTTTTCATAGGAGTATTTAGAATAGATTTTTCCATCAATATGATGTGGGAAAATTAGGATGATTCTGAAGGTAGGTAGAGTATAATGATGATCTTTCATTTTGTTCATGTCATATTTGAGATGATTCTTATAAATCTCAGTGTAGGGGACAATATGAAGTTTAGGAAGAGCCATAGTTAGACTAAAAATTTGGAAGTCATTGTGATACTGAAGCTAAATATGCATGCAAAGCTATAAATTAAGTAAGGATAAAGAGAACAGGAAAATTAGAGAAAAATATAAAGATAACATGGTTTCTGTCTGACAAAATGGACTGAATCTAAGAGAGAGTGGGAGAATATTTGGAGTCACTTAGCTAGCATAAATAATGAACTAATTAAAAAAGACAGGAGTCAGAGCAATGCATAGCAGGTAGGGTACTTGCTTTGTACACGACTGACCTGGATTCAATCCCA